TAAGGAGGCTTAGACGCGCAGCAGTCTCGTCCTGTGCCCATTACAACAACACACGTTTATTTACGACAAACAACAACCAAAAGAAGAAGGATGCCTATCTGTAGGCACGCCGAATATTAAATACTCTTGCCGACCAAAGTCAAACTGCCAACATCTAAATTTCAATAAATTGAAATTGATGAAAACCGATCGCTGCTGCATGATGTAATTATCTGATTTGGTTGGTTATTTGTACAACTGGTTCTGTTCTGATAACTTGCCAGCAATATATAGTGATGCGATCCACCTGGCTCCGAAATTTGTACTGCCTGTTGATGTTGATATATACACGTAGCTTCTGAAGTCATCTCCTTCAATGCATTACAAACTTAACGAGCTAAACACCCTCATTAAGGGAATTAAAAAGAAACAACTGAGAATCATTTGACAGCGTAACCAGAACAGGCAAATAATTGAGTTGCTTCAACCGTTGACAACGCATGCAAAGACTCGAGAAATAATGTTAGACTGTTCGACTAGGAGATATCCTGTACATATACATAATAAGAAAACATCTACTAACAAATAGTGAGGAATGCAGTGGAAAATATTTAATATTTTAGTAAATCGGAAGTATAAAAAATACCTACGAATTATAAATATGAGATTTAATAAATATCATTAACAGATTTAATAAATATCAAAAAAGTATCTAATTTAGAAGAACATTCAGTCAGATCATTTAAGCATTCCTAGGTCATTTATAAATTCAAAATATTAGTTATGGAAAAATAAATAAATTTTAGAATTTAAACGATATTTATTTAAGTTTTTACTCTAAAGCCGAATGCAAAACTGCATTTGGCATAAGCGATTTATTTACCATTTTAATTAAAGTATCGAAATCGCATTTAGATTGCGTTTGCTTTATTTGGAAATATATGCAAGTCTTAAATACGAAATTTTAATTGGTGCAAGCTGCACTAGTATACATTAAGTAGGCTTACCAACTATACCAACAAACCACTCAACAGATCCTTATCAAAGTTGATGCCACAACTTGAAGAACTAACACACAAGCGATTCGGCAAGAACCGTTTCATATCTTTATGCCATTCACAGCATATGGTAAATAAAATACACACACACTTAGACACAACTCAGAGAGACACCTAACAGGTCTGAGTGGCAGCTTCTTTCCCTGCCCTTCCCTTCCCGGCTGGCCACCACTTACCGCACATTGTTAGTTGTGAAGATGCCGCCGAACTCAGGCCTCGAGCTTCTTGGGTCCTCAATGCATATGTATGTACATATGAAAGATGCTCCAGATAGACCAGCAAACACACACACACACACACACACACACTCACACACTGACACACATAAACACTAACTGCCGTTTGCTCTGTGTCAATATGTATGTAAATAAGCGAGAAAACAAGTGGCTATAAATTTACAAGGATGCTGCCGTTGCCCAAACAACATTGCGAATACGCCATCGAGGCCAAAAGCCGTCAACCAAGAGTAAATCCGCACGCATGTCTCCATCTCGGTTTCTGTGTATATATGTGTGTGTGTGTGTGTGTGTGCGATTCGTATGTGTGTGCTTGTGTGTGTAGGTGTGCCTTACTAATAATGCCCTTAGGAAAGGACACGCCAGCTGAGTGTAAAAATATAGGCACCAACAAAAATTGAGTTAAATAAAATAAATGAACGTAAACATGGCGGTCCAACAAAGGAAACTGAGAAACTGAGAGTGAGGAAAAGCGAGGAAAAGCGAGGGAAGACGAGGGAAAGTGAGACAGAGCTAAGAAGACCATCGAGGTGTGCTCAAGTATGCGTATGTGTGAGCCTGAGCATGAACACAATATATCTATTAAGTACACTGAAGTACACTACTCTAGGCTTGACCCACCAACACCCACACCCACACCACACACACCCAATCCACCTCCCCACAGGCGCGCACTCGCATTTGTTTTCTATGGTTTTATTGCCGACATCCTTGAAAGTTTGTGATATGTTTTTATTTATATAAGCGTGCCACGTCGAGCCATCAATGCTGTTGTTTATCGCCCGACAACCAATGTTGTTAGCGTCCACTGGTAAGGGGTTTATTACGCTGCTCATAAAATGTCATCAAATTAAAAGCAATTTTGCTGTTGGAAATGCTTTTACTTTTCCATTTTGGCTCGTAACTAGCTGCTCGTGGCTATGAAAAATTCTCAGATTATTCATCTGCTTCTGCTCCTCTTTCTCTTTCTGTTGTGCTGCATTCACAGTTATTAAAATTTTTAAGAGCTTAAAGGTCAACCGGAGAGCGAATGTCAAACCATCAAGTCTGCAAAACCCAGCATTCAATTTCAGACTATGTCCGGTAAACTACATAAAGTCGAAAAAGTGTCCATTGAGTGTCGAGCTGAAATACTCCATAACAATTTAATAAATTCTTCTTTGTTCCAACTTTGGTATAACAAAGGTTGTATGATTTTTAAATTTAAATTGAATGGCACTTTGAAGGAAAATAATAAAAATAACTTTAAAATCATTTTGAATGTGATACAGTTTTGCAGCTTATAGAAAAAGTGGTTGTTTTATGAATTTAAAGTGAGGTTTATGACGAACAACATTGATTCACGAGTTAGAATTCTGCTTACAAATTTTAAATAACATTTTCCTCCACATTTCGACAAGAAACGAACAACTGACAGTTGGCAACCACAGTTGATAGCTTAAGCAACCACAGAGATAAATGTTTAAAAAATGGTTACACGTGACGTATAACATTTTGCCATCAATAAAAACCAAAATTCTATTGTGTTTTGACAGTAATGTTCTTAAACAAAGTACAATGAACCCATTGTTTGATTGTAATTTTTCAAATGCGCACTCTGAGCATCTTCATCAGAAGCTTTTCAGTCCCGCGTGTCCCTCGTTTAACCTTCACACTTTTAACAATTGGCGGCCTCAAACGACAAAAATATCAAGTGCTTAAGCCATAATCATTGGCCTACACATTGTGTGACAATTTGCCTGCCAGCCTTGCTGGGGGTACCAGATTATTTGTGTTGGCCCATTGACAATACAACAACGCACAATGATCAATCATTTCCGGGCAATAGCCATAAGGCGCAGAGGGTGTCAAGACGACGGGAGAGTGCCAAATTTAATATCTAAATGAAAGTTTAGATTGGCGCCATGGCTGATGAATTGAAATATTGCCGCACGAATGCGTTTTGCAGGTAGTCAAGCATGAAGTTGGCTCAAAGTACCGGCTGTAAGGGAGGGGTAACGGAGAAGACAGGCTCTCAGAATAGATACAAAGCGGCCTGAACTTTGCGTTTTAAGCTTGAGGCTGAGGTGGATGGGGCTGTTAAAAAGTTGTCTATTCACAACATTGCGAAATATAGCCAAGAGTAGTTAGCTTTGAGATATCCTTGAAATAAATTACACCCAAAAATTTAACGATCGTCTGGAAAATTGATTAGGGTGCAGCAGAATTGAGAATTGAAAAAATATGTCACAGATATTTTAGTAGATGTTGCACATAAATCAAAGTGTACATTAGACTGACTTAAAATCGATTTATATTAAGAATAATTCTGCAGTCTTAAGCAACTTAATCCCATTTCAACCTGATGTTTATTATGCCCCAAACATTTTGATTGGTGCAGGGTATGCAAATGCGAAGCAATCGAGGCGCAACGCTCAAAAATAAAGTCAAAGAGTTGAGAGGAGTTGGGAGGTGCGATTGTGTCCCTGGAACCAGCGCAACAAAAATAAACAAAATATTTATTTAGGCCCAATCAATTTTATGGCAATTCGCTTCTTATAGCAACAGCAACAGCAACAACAACAATAACAAAGGCAACCGCCAATCGAAGCTGCTAACATACGCCCTCTAAGCCAAATTTGCGCCGTGAATTATGCAGAGCTTCTCCCTTAGCAAAGCGAGTAGGTGTCTATCAATGTGTGTGGGTGTGTGTGTGTACTTAAGTGCTTCCTGTGTGTGTGCGTATGTGTAGCATGTGTGGGTGAGTGCTTAAACGTGCATGAAAATGCTGTCAGCCAGCAGTAACAACAACAACAACCACAACAACATCAACGCGTGCTTGGCAAACTCTGGTGGAGTGTGTGTGTACGAGTGTGTGTGTGTGTGTGAGTGTCGATCTGAACTTTTAAACTAATTTGAAATTTTAATTTAATTAATTTGTGTGCGAATTTTAAAACGAATGAACGATATCCGCTATGTGCTGATGTACTGAAACATTGAAAAACTGAGCAAAAACCGAATCTATTTTGAGAACTGTACGAGCCAAATAAGCTTGTCGAATTTTCAAAGCCCCAAAATCGATATTTATAAAAATGCATATCTATTAATATTCAAAAATATTAACCTTTGAAACACTGGAGCAAATTTTAGCAGTTGATTTTGTAAAGGAATAAACTTAAACGAAAACGAAAATGCAAAGTATAAATATATAATCAAACAGTTACTATCTTTTCACTTTTCATTGAGTGCCATTAAAAGTTAGAATTGTGCGATATTTACGACACTCGAAGTATCTCATTACATTTCAAATGACAAATTGAGAACTCATTTAAATTCAGTTACGACGATGCTGCCAGCATCCTATAAATCTCATTATACAAAAAATGACAATTGCAAAGAAATTTGATTAACTCATCTGGTCTTGTTTCTCAATATATTTCCAGGAAGCTGCAATTTGCCAGCAATCGAAAAGCAATTATAAACAAATTGAAGGCAGTGCGCGTAAAGTTCGTTAACAACAACAGGAAGAACAACAAAAACATTAATACTCAAAAACAGCAACGGCTGCAAAATGTAAACGGCTGAAGGGGACTCCAGAACTGGGTCCATCAGCTCTGCAGCTAGCAAAGTTAAAGGCATCACAAAAACACAATAGCAAAAACAAAAAGCAACAAAAAAAGCAACAAAAAAAAACAACAAAAACAGCCAAAGACATAAAAAGTACAATAACAACAGCAAAAACAAGAAGAAGAAGAAAACAACCGCAGCACAAGCAAAATACGCAACATAAATGAAGTTAACAATCTGTCAAATTGCTAAATTATTTCTGCTGTTGACAGCCTTCTTCTTTCTCAATTCCCCCAACGTCACCTCGTCCACCTTCATATCACCCAACAACACCTTGGCCCACCTCATCAACAGCAACAGCAGCAGCAACAGCAGCAGCAACAGCAGCAGCAACAGCAACAGCAACAGCAGCATCTTGACGCCAGTTTTCTTGCCTGTCCAGCAGAACTCAACGCAAGCTGGCAGAGTGCCCAAGACAACTGCAAGAACGACAATAACAACAGCAACAACAGCAGCCACAACACTTGAAAGCAATTCAATTTGGAGCACAGCAACAGCAAGAAAACAGCAGAAACAACAGCAATCAAAACAAAAACAACAACACCAGCGTAATGCGGGTGAATTTGAGCGTGAGGCACGTCAAATGCAAAGTCGAAGAAAACAACAGAAACAACAGCAACAAGAGCAACAGCGGCAACAGCGGCAACAGCGGCAACTACGTCAACGTCAACGCCGACAACAACAACAACAACAACACCAGCAACAACAACAACAAGAACAACCAGCAGCCGCTGCAGCATTGGCGGCTCAGCGTGTGGCAGTTCTAATACCGTCATCATTGCACATGGATATGATGCATGTGCAACAGGGTTTCCAGTATTTTGTTGAGTTTTTTCAAGCGCATTTATCCAATGCCAGCGTCGATTTTCTACGTGATGTCGGTGAGTAAGCAACAACAATAACAGCAACTGGCAACACCAACATCCCACACACAACACACACACACACACACACACTGAGGCAGTGGTTAGCCATTTTGTATATTTATTTAAGGCCAGCCACTGAATCTCCCTCATTCAGTTTCTTTCCGATTTTCCTCTTTTTTTTTTTTTGTTTCTCTTTAGTCCTTCAAATCTTTGCATTAACACGTCCTTTTATCGATGTTTTTTTTCTCATCCGACTCACTTGTAACTCAAATGGGATATTTAAGAAGATAAATTGCCAAAAGTGGCAGTGATAGCTGTGAAAACTCATCGAAAGAATGATTATACCATATGTAACAACTTTACCAATCGAATAAGTATCGCATTATTTAAGCAACTAACTGATTACACAACAAACGATATAACAAAGCAAGAAGATTTATTAGTCGTTCAAGCAAATTAATTAAATTACTTGTATAATATGATTGTTGTTATTTTATTAGCCCAGCTACTGCAGTTGTCTAATTAGCCATTAAAAGCAGCAGTAAAAGAATATTAAGTGTTTTTTTAATTGCACTTGAAGCAACAGAAAAAGCAAAATATCCGAGATGGGAGAGACAGTCGTTGTATAGATATAGATATGAAAACTTATATACCATATATATGAATATTCTGAGATCAGCTAAATTTACTCTCTATTGATGCTGTTCAAGAATCTACATCCCTTATGCGGTCGGAGATGCTTTCTTCTGTGTGTAACATATTTATGCTCAACTTTATTACACTCTTTTTTTCCCACTCTTAATGAGTTCATGTCATAAAAATAATTTCTTTACAAATTTAATTTAAAATTTAATCTTTCTATATTTTACAACCATTTTTTCCGCTATTTTACGTCATGCCCAACTTGGTTACTCAATGCATCATCTAAGGCATTTTGTATTAAAGAAAATGCCAAGTGTTTCTCTTCAAATCTCGACTTGTTGAAAGGGAAAGGACGCATGTACTACGACCATATCCAAATGCAGTTTTCTGCCTTTTTGCTTTGCGAATTTGTCCCCAATGCAAACTCAATTTGCATGCATTATGCGCAGACTGTTCTGAAGAAAAAAAAGGGAAAAATGCTGTTTTTTATGCTTTTTAAACTAATTAAATCGCAGTAAGCAAGTTTCTTGCCACGTCCTCATACTTATGCCTTTGGCTCGAACGACTCATCAAGTTGGCAACTTTGCTGCCCTTCTATGTTTTCCTGTGTACTTACAACTTTAATTACATTGCCTTCAATTACGGGCGCGTTTGTCCCGCCAAAGAACTAGCTTCCATCCTGAGTTTCTCCTCCGCCAAGCATCGATGTCGTAAATATTCCTGTCCGGCAAGTGACAACTTACAATTTCCGCTTGAAAACTTTGCGACTGCAACTGACTTATGAGTATTTTTATTTTATTACAGTGAACCGTGCCATAAACTTAACCCAACCATGTTGCTGTAATCCTGCCTCTGACCAGGCATTTGTCAAGTCCATCTCCTTAGACGCTGCTCCCTGAAGCATTTTATGATGTTTTTTTATTTTTTTGCTAAATTCATGATAGAAGTTATGCTTTTAAATTGATGGAAAGCGCTTTAATAAATAGGAAAGCCTAACAAATCTACCGAGAGTGAAATCGAAACCAGACTCTTGTCAATTGTAAGCAGCTGCAACTATAATAAAATGAAATGAAAAAATACATTATTGATGTGCAAAAATATCTATAAATATGTCATATATTTCTTATGCTGATATATGTCATATATTTCTTATGCTGATAATAAAACCTAAACTAAAAAGATTATACGTAATGTTCTCATGTTTAAATTGAATGGTTTCTATTTCTGCCAGATAAACGATTAACGATTAATTTCGCCAATTTAAAATTACATGCAATTTTTGTAGAATTCCATCAAAAAATATTTAAAAAATCGCATTTAAAGTTAGTTGAATATTTGCTATTATGCTGTTTATAAGATAAATAAATTCGAAATTAATATCTAAACTAAACAATTTCTTGTTTTTCGATTCTCTAGATTCTTATGAGGGATATTCTTTGTTTAAGTAAAAGCTATAAATTTTGTATTATAGTGTCACAATTAAATACTAAACTAAACTAAACTAAACAATTTTTTTTTTTGTTGATTACTTATGAGTGTCTGAGTTTATTGTTAAGGATAGTTTTTGAAATGAATTGCGACAAATGGCAATAAGCTTAAGTTCTGCCAAATGGATAGTTTAATCTGCGACCAGGGCTTAACTTGGTCTGTCCAAGTTTTCGCTGAGTGTCTGGTTTTCTTTCAATCAATCTGCCAGTCGCAGTGGCTGCTGGCTGTATTCTTTCAATTTGCTTTATTTTAGCTAGTTTCGAAGTAAACATGGACGACTTCACATGGGAAAGAAGAACCTTCAAGTTGGCTGGCGTAAAACTTGCACAATTGCTCACTTATTTGGCGCCAAAGTTTTGCCAATTGCAACAATTTTTGTTTGGCTCTGCGAAAGTTTAAATTTGATACCTTTAATTTACACAGTCTACCGTTGGTTGTCATAAATAAAAGTTGTCACTGTTTCACCTGCTCATCCGAGGTTGAATCGTATAAATTGAGTTCTTACACAGAAACTGCATAAAAAGCTTTACAAAGAAATTCAATTTTCTAACTCCCTCGTAAATCTATACATTGTTTTTGCCTCTCTCTATCTGTCTCTCTCTCTCGCCCTCTCCCTCTCTCTCTCTCTCTCCCTCTGACTCTTTATCCCTCTCTCTGTCTCTCAGTTATGTTGTCCACATGCAAAATAAATTCTATTTGCCGCAATTTCTTTCCAAGTTTTTATGTTGCAAGATATTGAAATTGATTTTGGTTGCATATGTTGCAGTTAGGTGCCCCCTTCTCTTCCACCGACACAATTTATGAGCTGACCACATGAGTAGACCAAAGCAAAACCTATTGTCCTGCATTCCCATTTGCATGACCCAGTAAATACAGTTTAGTTTATGCCCACAGCCAGCATTCTCAGCATTTGTGGTGAGCCAACAAAAGGCCGGACAAACTTATAAATTGTATTTCCATGCAGCGCCTACTAACCAAATGCATTAAATGGTTGCAGCATGCACCAGATCGAAAATAAGGTTTGCCTCATTCATTGTGAATATGAAACAAATAGTTCTTACTTATATGCATAATATACTTGTACTCTGAACCCATTAAAAATAGTAAAAACGATATAATGAAGTTGCGCAAAAGTATGAAAAAGGTAGAAGGAAGCATCTCCGATTCCAAAGTATATAAGGTATATGTTTGCGCTATCTCATTTTGGATAGCTTTATTTTCCAATTAATAACGCAAAGTTATTTCCAATTCGTTATAAAGTTTATTTAAAAGTATATAGTTAGGCTAGAAGCCAAAGCTAACAATAAGCTATTTAAATTAAGCAATTAAAAGTTGTTTGCTGCTGCTGCCAACTGCCTGCGCATCGAGAAATATAAATATATATATATATTATATTTATCTGTGAAAATGCAGGGTATATCCAAGTCGAGCAGCATTCTAACTTGTTTGTTGTAATAAAGTTCGATTTAAGTTTAATTCGGAGACTGTAGTGCGATAAAACCACAAAATGAAATTATGAAGCTTTAAATTCAATTAAATATGCGAATAAATGAATCGCGGCATGTGCTGCATCGAGAGAAAAAAGTATTTATGATGAACTTAATTGATTGAAAGCATTTGTTTAACAACTCATTAAATTAAATTGTTTGTTCAACTCAAATATAAATAAATATTGAGAAGAGAATGTTATATTAATTATATGTGATTGAATTGTATAAGGAACAAAAAGCAATTCTTTTGTATGCTGTGGGCACTTAACTAGATTTTTAAAAGGCCAGATTATAAGGCAGGTTTCCTTTCATGGAGCACTGTAGATTCATGTGAATGATGGCACTTATAACAACTCACAGCACATGCCAGTTACTGTTGGCAGGCACTGTAGTGAACCGCAGAAGCACTTCAAGGGGAGCCGCTTTTAGTCGACTGCCTTCATCTGCAGTTACTGCTTCTACACCTCTCAAGCACACACATACATGCACGTACATATTAAATAAATATATATATATATATACACACACACACACACACACACAAAGGGCTTAAATATTCAACAGTTTTTGTACGATACATAAAATGTTTCTGTTTCTGTGTCTTTTTCTTATTTTTTTTTACTTTCGCTTGCATTTTGCCATGTTGATGGCGCTGCTGACGCACAGATTTAAGTGGCTTCATTAAATTACTTGAGCTACCCAAATACACGAGCGTTGTAAAGACTTTAAATGCGGGCATTAATGTGGACACTGACGTGGACTTCGATGGCAATGGAAATGGCGTTGGCGATGGCGATGGCGATGGCGATGGCAATGGCGTTGACCCAACAAAGCAGCCGCGTCAGCAACAAACCAAAATGAAACAGTTGTCAGCAGACACTTTATCAGCATCCACACAGATACCAAAGCAACATCAAAAACATCAAAAACAGCAACAGCAACAGCAACAACAAAAACAACAACAAGGACAAGAAGAACAACAGGAGTGGCAGGAGAAACACTCGGATACGGCCAGCCTTGGGGACTGTCATCAGCTGGCTGAGCAGCTTGCTCACGATTATAATAAGAGCATCGTCTTTTGGCCCTGTCCGCACATGAAAGTAAGTACTTACATAAATATATTTACATTTAAAATATTTTTTGTCTTTTCACGTTTTAATACATAAATTTTGTCTCTGCCAAAGTTCTCTGAATAGATACATTTCTATGCAAGAAGAATATAATTGCCAAAATTCGAAATTGCTCTATGTAATAAATTCCAGAGAAATGTGCTTAGCATGTATTTTATAATAAACTTATTTTTGACAGCTTCTTATTAGATTGCAATTTAATTCCTTAGAATCACAAAAGAAAATGGAATTCATTTGAATACAAAACACGCACAAATATTTTATTGGATTCGATTTAGCTTAAGAAGGCGAAGGAGTTTATAAAAGCTAGGGAATTTGAGCGCGGTTTCTGATGGTTTTAATAATGAAAATGGTCCAATTTATATCATCTGTTGAGTAAAATGGAGAAAAATTGAATACAAGAGATTTTTTGTACTTTTATAATGAAAGATTCCACAATACAAATTAGGTGTTATAAATATCATGTTGGCTGGTTTCCTCGTTGCATTAAGTATTCTCTATAAAAGTTAAGCTCAATTCTTGATTTCCCTGAGTCGCATTATATTTTTTTTTTTGGATAACAACTTACTCATGAAGTAAAACGCATTTACTTTGTGTGTTAATTAACCAAAGCTGCAAAACCAACCCGTGGCGAAACGAACACTGGCAGCGAAAGGTGGCCCAAGCTGACCATTAGATATTTTGTAACCAAACTTTAAAATTTTGCAAAAGCACCCAACAGTAAAGTCTAGCAAGTCAAGCCGGGAAGGGTAAGGGTACACAAGGCACATGCAAATCCAGGACAGAAATTGCAAACACAATCAGCCAAAGAGAGACCTGGAACTAGATAGAGAGAGTGAGTGAAAAACCTGACCAAAAATATGTTGCACAGAAATTGTTCGATAAAAGTCGGCAAGGGCATAAAATTACGTTCTGTCGCAAAATGCAAGAGAACTCGTTAAAGTTGTTGTTGCGCCTAATTTAAAAGTGTCTGTCAAAGTGCACAGAATTTTTCACATAACTTTTGAATAGCTCACAATTTGATATCCTTCTGGGAAGCTGTCATAAGGTCAAAAGGGCAGAGGTTAGTTTAGTTTGTTCGCCACTAATGATAAAATAATAATAAAATAAAAGATATACATGTTCTACTCTTCATATATGTATTTCTTTGGCCAGTTCACCAGTTCGAACCTGATTTAAAAATAATCTTTTAGTCTTAAAGAAACTTTCGATAGACTTACTTTTGTTACAGGTCAAATCCAACATATGAAAAATTCCAAATATTTAATTATACTTTTTCAAATACAAAATCGATGAAAAAATCATTTGTATAAAAAGAAGAAGGTATTTCATCTTTAGCATACCAAAGATAACAGTTTGCTTTTCGTAGCATATTTCAAGAGAAAAACTTTTGACATTTGATTGACAAAGTCTTGCAAACTTTTGTGGAAATTCAGACATTTTATTAATGAAAACTTAAAGTTAGCAAAATATGATGACAAATTGCGACAGACTTGCTGACAAAACAGTGATTAAAACTAGCTACCCAAAGCTATGGATTTTTAATGAGAGTGGAAATGAAGATGCCTCAAATATGCAGCTGAGACAAAAGACAATTCCTGCTGCATAAGAGACAACAGCTGGGGAAAGCTTGCCAAAGCAAGCCAAGGCAGTAGACAGATAAAAGGCAACTGGTAAACTGAAATGCATATCATTTGCATACAAATCATCCAATGAGACCATTCAAACTAAACTGGTATTGGTATGGCATGGCATGGCATGGCGTAATGGTAATGGAACAGCAATGTCCTGCAATTGATGGGTAAAGACAGTGGCAAAGGCAGCTCGTAACTGCACACTCCGAGTGCTGCAACAATATTTCACAACGTTAAAGCGTCATAATTTCTGATTTGTATGCATGCGAATAGCCGTTAGCTGCCAGAGCATTTAAATCACTCAGATGTGGATAAGACAGGCGATTCCGTAACTACACAAAACCGTAAGCATGTGCCCCAAGAAGTTGCAAGAAAATCTCGTATATCTCATCTTGCCACGTGCCGTCGGGCTTGCCTCCAGCCGATAGGTGACACGTCTGTTGTTCACGTTTTCCCTTGTTCAGAAGTTGGCACTGAGCTTGATGCTTATACAAATCTGCTGCACAATCTTCAGCAAAAAAATTGTGTTTAGCCTGGCAGCTGTCTGATTTTTATGTGCCGCTTTTGGCGCCAGCACCTGAGCTCAGACCGTTTCATGGAAATATTTAATCGCAACAAGTGCAGCTCTAAGCAGACGCTTGCAAAATTGTTAAAATAATGCAAAATGCACATCAAATGCAGCTGAATATGTTTGAGAGCAAGTCTGCAAAGTCGGTTACCTGCAGCAACTAAAAGCACATCACGGCTAAGGGGACGAAAATTGAACGAAACTTTTTAGACACTGGCACAGTAAAACACATAGTATATATAAATATATATACTATTTATATACTATGTTAAAACTTACAGACTGTATTTTATGGCCGATAAGCGAACAATTATTCTTATAGTAGCTAAGCATTTCTCAACGAATTTTAATTAAAAATGATTCTTTTTGGCAAAAGTAAAATGAATTAGAGACAAGACAGGAATGCCAGTTAGATACCGTTGCATGCATTTTCGCGTTTTGTTGCAAACATTCACAATTTATTAAATTTTTTTTAAGAGTTATGAGCTAACTTTACAGCTTTACACACTAGCTTAAATACTCACTCGACCGTACGAAAAAAAAGATAGGGGCCACTGAAATATAGGCCATTATTCGTCCACTCCTCTTTGGCAAAAATGAAATTGAAAAAACACAAAAAAGAAGAACTACTGACATAAACTGTAACAGCATATTCAGCACAAACTAAATAGTTCTAAGCCTAATGACCCACATTTACAACCACAGCAGGATATTTATGTTTGGAGAGCGATTATTTTCCGCGAGTGTTGCATAAAAATAAATTCCGCGTTTAAATATTTACATTGTTGTCAATTTATTTGAATGTTGCTGTTCAAGAAGTTAATCCACAAATATATCTAAAACGCGAAACATTTATTTGAATAACGCATTCAAATTAAATTATGCACAGATGGGAATGAAATTGATTAAATATGTGTGTTTACTTTGCAGCAACAAAATTGAATTAATGTGGCTTGAAATCCATTGAATAAATACAAATAATCCTGCAGTCCAAGTTCTATCAGCTTGTGCTTTCTATGAGATACCCTGCATTTTTCATTGGCAACATTGTTGTTTAAGCTCTGCAAGGCTACTAAATTTGCCCAGACTTTCAGGGTTAGCAAAAATGTTTTATTTTCCTCGAACATGTTGTTCGAGACTAGACTTTAAATTCCACTATAAATTAAGGTCCCACATGAGCACAAAAAAGTAAACTGCACTAAACTAAGCGCTTGTGTATACCTAAGTAGTATTTAAGTGCATGCAACGCCCACACATGGACTCCCATTAAACCGCACCACCAACTTGCCCCAAGCGCTGCCAGCTGTGCCCCGAGCTGCATGCTGCTAGCTGCAAGCTTTAAGCCCGCAAAACAATGTAGCTGATAAAAGAGATTCTAATTGACAGACAACACAAAGCGAAAACAAAAAGAAAAACACACACACGGGGCACCACAAAAATGCGCAGCAAAGTATGCAACGCATGTGAGGCAAGTGCTGAACTGTGGCACTGCAACTAACTAAAACCACCATAAAAGCAGATACCGTGGACAACTATGTAACACAGCGTGGAATTAACTCTGATTTTAATGCTATGTGCCATATTTATGCGCCGAGAGTCCAACAACATACGCCTACTAACCACGCCCCAGATCGCAGACAGCAATGAAAATGCAGTTTGCAAGAGAGTTGAAAATGTGCAATATGTGCTGGAGTCGCTTTGGGAGTGTAAAAAAAACAAACAACAAAAATCGCTCAGCGAATCCCATTCAAATTTCGTTTCAGTACACAAGCTCAAAGCCGCATTGCGCATACGACCTGCAGTCCAACGCGGGCACAGAGTACGAACTAAAAATGGCGAAAAACCAATTTGCAAGTTTCCAATTTGCATTCTTCATTGTGTCGTTGTGTCAAGTGAACGTTATCGAAACTTCTCTTTTGTAACCAGAGGCTTAAAGTGCAATTGGGTATTAACGAAAATCACCGAAACCATTTTTTTTTTTGTGATGGCTGAAAAATGTTGAATGAGTTCAGAGATAAGCAGAAAGCATCTTCATTTAAAAATGTTTTTCCTTTTTTTTTATATTCATACGAAAACAAGTAAGAATAGTCCAAAGGAGAGAGCTCGACTAAGAGTTACCCTGAACTCAATTCTTTATTTCGTAATTAAAATCTCTGTTTTTAATTACAATTTGAAAAATGTATTTTTATTATGAATCGTATAAATTCTATAAAACCTCGGACGTTAAGGTTTAAATTGTAAAGATACCGTCTACTTGCTTAAAATTAATTCAACTTTGCATAAAAATAGTATTTATAATATTCACTTGAACCCAAATAATTACCTCTCACAAACCGTACACAATTATAATAATTATTATATACATCAACAATGGGGCACAATAGATCAAATAGGTCGCGGTGCAGTTTTCCCCCCTAGTAATAATAATCCATCAACAAGCATTTTTCTCTAATAACAGCGTTAAGATCTCTTAAAGTCAATCATTATTTATTTACAAAGACGGTCTACATATTTTGATTTTTTCAGTTTGTGTTTAGCGTTTGAGCAGACAGCTGTGAAGAAACCATCTAAAAAAGAATTTTGATTTTCAGTACTGCTTTCAAGCAAGATAATTTTGTCTACCAAATGCCCCTCAATCCCTTTTTGCAGTTGTTTATTTGCGCACTGTTCAACAGAGCAAATGCGATGATGCATTCAAGCCACACAATTCACCAACTGCAAATAGTACAAACAGAACATAAAAGCGGCATAAAACATCTTTTGGTCTT